CACAATGGACAGTCAGAAGTCTGTGGGAAACAAGCAAGCAGAACATGAGCACGAGAGCACTCTCCCCTTCCATAATCTGTATTTTCTTTTCCCCAAACTAGGGTCAAGCAGAATTAAAAGGGCACTGGTGGGATTTCTCTTGCACTTTATATGATAAAGAAAGTCCTGCTGCACAGAGGCATCCTGGCATAGCTGTCAACTTTCAGATTTGAAAATAAGGGATCAGCAGCCTCAAAAATAAGGGATCACAGCCTCACCTGTCCAGGGGACAGTCTACGGGATATCTAACAATCTGGGATAGCAGCGGGAAGCAGCAGGAAATGGCGCTGGAATAAGGGAATTTCCCACAAAAAAAGGGAAGGTTGACAGCTATGAACCCTGGATCCTGAAACCCTGATTGTGCACCATGCGAGTGTGACTAAAAGCATGGTCTCACAACACTTTTGCTGCGTGAATTGGAGACCTTGAGAACAGGGTCGTGCTCTTGGAAAGCAACTTTGTGGTCGTCACCACCCCAACCGTTTATCCTTTCCATCCTTTTCCCATCATAGTTATGTGACCGACCCTATTTATCCTGAGGATCCTGAGAACTGTAGTTTGCTAAGGGTGCTGGGAGTTGTAGGGCTGTGAGGTATAAGCTACAGGGCAGTGTTCAAATAGCATGTTCCATCAGTGCAAAGATTTCTGCTTGCACAATGGGACTCTTGCCCCCACCCACCACATACCTTGCACCCTTCCCAATCTGCTCCATTGGCTTGGGCGAATTCCCAGAACTGATTTAGGGGTGCACAGGGGAAGGGGGGAACATTCCATTGCACCAGGAGAAATCCTTGCACTGATGGCACTTCATGGATTCCACCCAGCTCCCAGGATTCTTTGGGTGGGTGGGGATATGCTTTAAATATGCTTTAAATATATGCTGTGTATGCAGCCAGAATCACAGATTTGGATTTAGCAGGCCTATCATGTCCTTGGATTATTTCACCTATAATAATTCCTCCAGGTTAGGCTCTATTCAACAAGTACACATACATGCCAGGAAATGGGGGAAGAGAGCAATTTTTTCGCTCTTTAGCTACCAAGCAGTCGCTTGCGTGACTATAAAAGCATCTAAGTTACGCTAAGTAGTAATTAATCTTCATTAATTTATTTTGAATAATGTTGATGAGAAATTAGACCTGGGAATTTAATTGCTTCCTGGAGCACCAGTTCTCAGATGAAGAACTGGCAAGAGCAACAATAAAGGTGGTTTTCAAAGAACAGAACCTTTTCTCTTACACTCTTCATTCCGGTCCGTATCATTTACAACCAGTGACTACACAAAACAGACAGGCTACAGTATTTGGTCTGTGAAATATTTCCGATCTTTTTGCCTTTCTTTTTTCGTTTCCCAAATAAGTAACCTCTTGTTTGTGAGCTTGTGGACATGACTATCTGCATATGCTCAGAAACTGACACAGAGTACATTCAGATCCAGAGGTGGAATGTGTTCTGTGCACTCACCTTTAAAATTCATCAGATGAAAAACAAGTCAATTTTCTCTCTTCATCACAGACTGAGTAACTTTTTATTTACTTTTTGCATGAGTGTAACGTCAAAATAAGTCTCACATCCCCACCCACATTCTGGATGGGAGATGGTTTTTAATGAAACACACAGAAAGAATGCTGTCTCCACTAGAATCTCATTTTTGTTTCATGGTAAGTCTAGCTCTGCACCTGAGTGAGCAGTTGTACGTGCGATGACGGAAACAGCAGTTGCCTAGAACAAGTGTTCTTCAACCTTGGGTCCCCAGGCCCAGCTTAGGGTGATGGGAATTGTAGTGCAACCACATATGGGGACCCAGAATAGCACAACACAGATATGTGATATACTAGGGATTCCTCTTTTATCTTTGCTTGCATTACAGTCTAGCTATTGATCGGTAGAAATCCTGAATCTCTTTCACATTTGGGCATATGACTGCAAAGAGGCGTTATTACGCCCTGCATGGGTTCGGAAACTCATTCGTTTGCTGCAGCAGCAGCAACCATCTTTTTTTAAAGCCAAGCACTCTGGAAAACTAAGATACAGATACGCATTTATTCAAACAGGTAAATAAAAATACCAAAGAAAACTGATTTTGTAAAATACTATCTTTAATTTGCCCTTTGATTACATTGTAACATCCAAAGTATAAAACTTACAAGCTTACATTTGAACGGAAATATACATTTTCAGAAAATAAAAAAGAGTGTGTACATGGAAAATGTCTAATGTGCAATAGATAAAAGCTATTGCTTCCAGTATCACCTGACTCTCTCTCATACCTGTCTTCTGTCCCTGTCAGGTGAGGGGAAAATTAATTCAGTAATCACTAACAGCGATAGGGAGTGTGTAGTTGTGGAAATGGGCAGGGATGTAGAGATATGGAGGACCTGAACATATTGCAGAGTTCCTGCAAAACATCACAGCCATATGCATGACTGAGCTAATGACACTCATAAAATATATATTCCATCAGTGGAATGAACAATCATCAACACAGAGCTATTTGCGTTTTCAGGAAAATGTGTGATCATTGGAGTTAAAGTGCAGCTTTCTTATTGAAAATTGTAATGTATGTCTCTCTAGAGCACAATATAAAGCCTTATCTTTTTAATCATTCAATTCTTATCATGTCATAATGGACCTAAAATTTTTGGCCACCTTGATTATGTGAAGATGTACCAGCATTTTAAAAGCTCAGCTTGTAGTTAAAAAAATAAAATAAATCCTACCAAAGGAAAGGTTTTTAAATTTTCTTTTTGCAGGTATTTGGTTAATGTGATCTTGTGCAATAAAACAGTCAAAAAATCCTCTTTGCTACAAATCACACTCTAACAGTATAATTTTATAGAAATCTACTTCAGAAGTGAAGTCCCATAGAGTTCATTTGGGCTTCTTCCAAATAAGCATGTACAGGACTGCAGCCTTATATATTCACTTGTCAGAGAATAATGCAGGTAGCACGAATGCCTATTTTAAAAAACCACCCTTTCTAAATTTACAAAAATAGCTATTATTTTACAATCTTTCAAGACCAGCAAATAAAAAAGAAGCTTATGCTCTTGTTACGTACAGAAAATATTCTACTAAAACCTCTTGAGCCATAATATGTCAGTGTTGCCATTTATAGATTCTTCCTGCAACGACAAGAGGCTCTCACAGAAACTGCTTTGATTAGGCTGGTACATGTTTAAAGGCACATGCTGAATACTTGAAAGGAAGAGGGAGAAAATAACACTGTTGTCAGTGGTATTGTTTTTCAGTTTCTCTAGCTCTGGCATTAGGCCCTGTGATTTTTCAAACACGAACAGTGTCACCATTACTATGAATCTCATCAATGAATGCAGACAAGATTGTGTATTTCTGACTCTGAGCAACTGTCTTGAAATACTTTTCACACCCCGTTGCATCTTTTATGACTGTTGCTTGAAGGGTTGCAATTTCCCCCACAAAAATGGTACTACTATCAAATTCTGTGAAATGCACGCTTGGTCCTTAGCTTTTTCAGGAAGTGTGTGTGGAGGGAGCCTTTGGGCCCATTCTCCCAAACTTCTTGAGATATGCAGTCTTAATTCATTTTGTGCAAAAGTCTTGTAGCCATAGTGTCCCATGCTGAAATGGTTGGCCAGTGGCCTCAAGCAGAACTCAGCTCAGCTTGCCCACCCCCACCCCCGGCCACAAATATTTTGTGAAATCTGATCAGCACTGATCAGAGTCATTTTGACAACGAACCATTTTATCAAGTGTGTAACCAGTCTATGTATGTGTGTATACTGGTGCTTACATTTTGTTTCTCTTTGCAAAAAATATATAAACATTTTCCAAACAAAGTTAAACAAATTTCAAAATCTTCTTTCCTAATATTAACGTTGGACACTTTCTGAAGGTGTGTTCAAACTGTATCATTAATACAGATATCTTAAGTAAATGTGGCTTAATACTTTTGTGAAGGAATTAAGCCTCCAGGGCTTTTCTCTGTGTGTCTGAATTTTAGTGCCCATTTGCTTCAGACACATTCTAAAACTGTCTCAGTTTTCTTAACTGAAATAGCTAGATATTTAGTTTTGTCTGATGATTTCCAAACAAAAGAGAGATATAAGATTTTTTATTGGACCAAACCTCATCTGCAAATCTTTGCATCTATCACTTATGCAGAACTCTGCATCAGACTGGAAGCAGAATTCTGTGAAATATATTTTTGAAAGACTGAATGGCAACCAGCCTGGTTCACTAAAATAACACGTGAGTTATTTTGTGTTTCTTTTGATTTGGGGGCAAATTGTTATGTGCCTTGCTTGCATTTTCCAGGCTCCCACTTGCCATTGATGGGACCAAAACAATTATGTAAAGTCTGACATACAGAAAGGGTCATCACTAGACCCTAGAACCATTTGAGTCCATGAGACTTTGGTCTTTGACTTCAGTGGAACCAAGTTTAGATTCTCAGGAATGAGTAGAATATCTTGGATATCACTGCATCTAAGGAGGTCAGCACCTATGCATTTTTCAAGTTATATTTTTCAGTCTTACATGATCCAGCTCTCTCCCAGCTAGATTATATCCCTCACTAGAACGTACAGCCTTCGGAGGCAGTCAAGATGGCACTGGGATTCTTGTGGCACCATTCAGAAATTTCCATCATACTGGCCTCTACTGACCCTGATCCTGGAGGGTTCAGCCAACAAAGCATCTTCTTTTTGCATTTTAACAAATTCCCTTCAGTAGATGTGTTGCCAGTTGCCTCTACTTCCCAAGCAACCTGGACATCTTAAGTACTAGTAACCATTATTCATTGTGATCACAACAGATGATGTCTTCTGATTACACAGAAAAAGGTTAAAAGCTGATATTTTTCTTTTCTCTTTAGGGTACTATTCTAAAGACCCCTTTCCAATTTGTATCCCTGATTTTTGTTTATGCAGTGTTACATATATTTAGCATTTTTCCTTTCCCCTTGAAAAATTCAAATCTGTCTATTCAGCAGCTCCTGCCGCTTCCTCAGGATTCTTTCCATCATTCTGGATCATTCGAACAATGTGCGTCAGGTCCAGGCTACGGGTCAGGATGTCAAGTAGAACCTCATCTTTCTGTACTCCGTCCATGAACTCCTCCAGAGACAGCTCACCTACAAAAACACAAAAGGTCTCAATTCATGTACTGTATAGCCTAATGTAATGGATGGTGTGGTATCTGATTTTCAAAGGGATGACATGGAAACCGAATTGGCTATTTCTGCATCATGCCCAAGTCGAAGTTGCAGGATTTTGTTTCACTTCCAAAGAAGAGAGAACCCACCCTTTCCTTACATCAAGATGTCACAATAGTTGATCAACCTACTTTCAAGATCTGTAGCATATCAGATCTTAATCCGTTGAATTCCTATTTAAAATCTCTCTACTCAATTGATTTCTCTCTTTTTGACTAATCTCAACCCTGATTAAATTACTTCTTCTCCTGAATAAGCAAAATGTCTTAAGCATCTCAGTGGAGTACATGATTTGCAGACCTCAGGCTTAGTTAACTGACTTTTCCACAGTCTTTCCATAGACCTGCATTGGAGGTTTGTTCCCCTCTCACATTAACATTTTGTTGCATTTCTCAGGACCAACTTGCAGTGCAGTGTGAGGGGGGAATAGTTTCAAAGATTCAGAAAAGGAAGTGGAATGTTTGGAATGGAATGTCAGTTATGTCTGCCTTAAAAGCATAATGGTCAGAGGGCCAACAGAAAAGAAGTAGTCTTATTTATTTATTTAGCTAATTAATTTCTTCCTACCAAAGAAATGTGAGGTAGTACCCCACCTCTCTTTGTTCAATTTTGGCATGTAACACTGGCGGCCATCCCTCCTGCACTGAATTTTCTCTAGTGCAAACTGATGTCAATCTGAAACCTTCACACAAGAGTCCTATGACCACACACTGGTAGGTCCCAGTCTTTATTTTTGGCCTATAAATGTCAGGCCACACCTTGGAGTGCATAGATAAATTCTTACCATCTCCATTTATATCGATTTTATCAAACACCATGTTTGTGAATTCCTCAGCTGTCATTACTTCATGACATGGGTTGATGGTGCGAATCGCCTGCAGGAAATTGAGATGGAGAACATTTAATGAGCTCAAGCTGCAGAGTTATGTATTTGCATACAGTAGATGGATTACTCCCCCACCCATGGCCCCTATGTGCATCAGTGGAGGACACATAAGTCCGCTTTGCCCCATTACAGCCACCCCCACCCTGCCCTCTTTAGGCCCCCACATGTCAGTGGTCATGTGTCAGTTGGACACGTGCAAAATGGTTGCCTCCTGTATTGAAACAGTAAAGGGGGCAACTGTGTCATGGAATCTTCCACAAACGTCTGCCAAACACCATCAATACAACAACTGGCCAAGGAAAATAACTTACCTTAATGATGTTTAGCAACTCATCCCTGTCAATACAGCCATTTCCATCTACATCATACAGTTTGAAGTACCATCTCAGCTTCTGTTCCACTTTTCCCTTCAGGACCAAGCTTAGAGCTGCCACATACTCCATAAAATCAATGTAGCCATCCTGTTAAAACACAAGAGGCAGATTGTCAGATGCTATGAGTAAGCCACAGCCATTCTTGCTGAATGCTTTTGTGCCTTAAACACTGGATCAACCACAGGGTGCACACAAACAGCCTGGCAAAATACATTTGCAATGAAAATCATCAAAGAGAACTGCTCTTACCAAAACACACTCTTGGAGACCTTAGCCTCATCCTACCATTCATCCGTGGTCCTTTTTCTGCACACCTCCTTTATAATATTTCTATTGCTTCCCATAGGCACTGTTTCTGTTACAATCAAATACATATTTCAACTTTTGTAATGCAAGTGCAATTACAACCCTGCTTTAAAGCCGGAGAGAAGTATTAGTCAATGTCTGCAGCATTACACAGAACATTTGCAGTAGGAAAAGGAACTGAAACGGGGTCCCTTAGGTCAAAAGCACCACTTCTCCAGTGAATTAAGCTGAAAGCTGATCTTGTGTATGGCAGCCTTTTCCACATGGTTTTTGTTTATATGAATTTTATGATGCTCTCAGACAAATGAAAAGATCACAGCTTGCTGCCTTTCACAGTTCCTCTGAAGAGTTGGGAGATAAAAGAGGTGGTACTTTTAGACATCAACTACCAGTGATGTCTCAAAACACGCAAATAAGCACCACACCAAAAGAATGAAGCTTCTGATGGTTTTGCCACCTCAGATGAACCTACTTTCTAGTGTCCTCCTTTTATATAGGAACAAAGATTTCCTAGAGATCTGCCTTTCATGGGCTTATTGACTGCTTATGTATATTGTCTGTACCTCTGTGATTCTCAAGCTGCTGTTAAAATAATGTTGACAAATCACTGCAAAGTTAAGGGAATGATTCTACTACAAAACAGCTGATGTAAAAATGGGGTGGGGGTGGGGGGCCCTGGTGGACAAAAACCTTCCAAAATAACAAAAAGATTTATTGTATTTACATATTTCTTCAAGTTTTTCTGCAGTGGAAAATGAAAAAAAGAAATGCAGGATCCTCTGTGCTGAATCTGTTCCATACGTCCATTCACTGCTAAATATCACTGGTGCAATGGCATTTTGGAACACAATGTCAATCAGGAATGTATAGATGGATACTAGAGAACTGTGCTTTTGAAATTCATGTGGCTGCGACTTATGTGCAGATCTCAAATGTATATATACATTTGCTAACCGAAACCTAAGGCTGCAATCCTTGGCAAGAAGAACTTGATGAGCCAAATTATTTGTCCAGATTTGTCTCCATGGAGATTAATTTCATTTTGAGCCCTGATTATCTGTATCTTCGTCCTTGTGCTTTATTTTGTTTTGTGATTGTCTGTTGTCATGCTAGCTAGAGATTCAGGTCTTGGCCAGGACTTTCAAGGTGCTTTTTAAGAAGCTATGTGTCAGGATCAATGTACGTTTGCATGCATTATACACCTAAGATGTAATTGCAGGTGCTGGTGCTGGAAATTCTGGAATAGTCTGCTCAAATCATGTCTGTATGGACCTGCTAAAAACTAAACAAACAAAAACAACAACAACCACTACACTAGATAGCTGTATGGTTTCATCTCTATGCTTCAATGACAGAACAGTACAATTTGAAGGGGAATATAGATTCCCGTGGGATGTTCTCTTACAGCAACTCAAACTATTTCCCTCTAGATCACAAACAGCTAATCTGATTTATTCTACAGGCGCAAAAGTCAGATTAGGTTTAACAACATTGAACCCAATTACCGGATTGGATTTCCTGCATGTTGGTTTATTCATCATGGCTGGGATTCAAAGAAGCATGCAGCTAAATTGCACAAGCTCAAGGGAGCTTTCAACTTGTGTTGCTCAAACAGCAGTTCTTTATCCCACATGTCATAGCCACATTTGTAACCAAGGATACTTTCAAAATAAGTTGGTGGTATGGCATGGGGGTGGCATCTGCTGTTCATGAAGGAGAAGGGTAAAAAACCCCACAGGGCCAAGCACAAAGCAGCTCTGGATCCCATTTTAAAAGTTTATTTAGTGTATTTTTGGTCAATCTTGCATTTTCTTCTTTTAATATGTTGAAAGGGAGAAACAAAACTTTTGCTAACAGAAACCTAAGTCGGCAGTTATTGGTAAGAAGTAAATTAAAAGCCCTGGAATTTATTTTCATACAAATATCCATGTTTGAGTATGCATGTTAGTTGTGTCTTTCACGAGGTCCAGCACTGAGAGCCTTCTAGCGGTTCCCTCACTGCGAGAAGCGAAGTTACAGGGAACCAGGCAGAGGGCCTTCTCGGTAGTGGCGCCTGCCCTGTAGAATGCCCTCTCATCAGATGTCAAGGAAATAAACAACTATCTGACTTTTAGAAGACATCTGAAGGCAGCCCTGTTTAGGGAAGCTTTTAATGTGTGATGAACTATTGTATTTTAATATTTTGTTGGAAGTCGCCCAGAATGGCTGGGGAAACCCAGCCAGATGGGCAGGGTACAAATAATAATAATAATAATAATAATAATAATAATAATAATAATTACTATTTCTTCTTCTTCTTCTTTTTCTTCTTCATCATCATTCTCTCTTATCTTAAAGACTCATTGAGAAATCAAGACTTGCTTTATATGGGATTTTTGCTTTGGAAAGGCCTGAAGATTAAAAGATCTGGTAACTCTAAATGTGAGTTGCAAGGCTGATTATTCCTATGACGTTGTGAGTAGGAGGCTGGATCTATGGTTATGAAACTGCCCCATGCTGAAAGCATAATTAAATTACTGCACGTGGCAATGCAGGCAGAGTGCAAATGTTTAATCACAGGGTAAAGATGGTTGGGCAGGTGTCACTGCATGAGGAAGCATTCATATGGAAAAAACTGGTTATTTTCTCATTTCAACCACTGTCATTCATGATTAATTCTTATGCAAGAACAGGAAACAAATCTTGATTTTGATCAACTGTCTACCCTTGCCTCCAAGAATTTCCATTGTAACTTCTCTCAAAATAATGGGATTGTACTATTTTATAACCAGCTATACATTTTATGTCCAATTTATTTCAATGAACTTTAAGAGCATGAAGTGTCTGCAGACATCCATTGAGGAAATCATGGATGAAAACTAAATTCACATGGATGTGTGCTCAGTGACTTTGCACAACCACTTCCTTAATCCATCAAATCCTAGGAGTTCATTACATTAATAAAGACCAAGTCGTGCATCCTTTAATCATAAACACAAATAACCTGATATGGAATTATGGTTGTAGTCTTAAATGTACCAACAGAGATTATGTCCCTTTGAACTGTGTGGGACTTCTACAGTATATAAATATGCTTAAGATCATGCTTCTTAGAAGGCATTAGTTTGACCCATTATACAACAAGTCCAGCCAAAGCTCTATTCTACAAATTCTTGCTCAATTTGGTAGTTGTAAGTGATAGCATCTAATGAATGTTTTATCAAACACTGTGGATTAGATAATCCTGAATACTCAATTCAGTGCATACATAAATTCTCAGATATGCAGAGGGTGAGTGAGAAATATTGGGCATTTGTAAATTATTGTTGGCCCTGTAAGATACATAGTTGTTGTCAAGAATAATGGAGACCATTACTAAAATAAACAAAATGCCAAATGTTGGATACAAAATGGGATATTAACCTGTTTCATTTCCAAATTAAGTCCTGCAATTTAAGAAAAGCGCTCTGCTGAAACAAAAATTCCTCAAATGTTTGCGCTGGGTTCTATATCACACAGGGAACCTTCATAAATTGCTGAAGCTCCCCATTTCAGACCATGTACCTCAAACTCACGAGGGCTGTAAACCAGAAGATAGTGACATAGTAGAAAGGTGAGGCTTAGCAGAATCCGCCCTCCTCACCCTCACATGTTTGCTCACATGTAGAGATGAACAGAGATGGAGGAGAAATGCAATTTAATTTGCATTTAAAGGTGAATCTACCTAATTTGCACTGACTGAAACAATACAAGAACTGAAAATTCTCTGAATTTTCCAGTGCAGTATAAAAATGCATATATTAGGGCGAAATGTGCATAAAAATTACCGTATTTTTTGCTCTATAAGACTCACTTTTTCCCTCCTAAAAAGTAAGGGGAAATGTGTGTGCGTCTTATGGAGCGAATGCAGGCTGCGCAGCTATCCCAGAAGCCAGAACAGTAAGAGGGATCGCTGCTTTCGCTGCACAGCGATCCCTCTTGCTGTTCTGGCTTCTGGGATTCAGAATATTTTTTTTCTTGTTTTCCTCCTCCAAAAACTAGGTGCATCTTGTGGTCTGGTGCGTCTTATAGAGCGAAAAATACGGTAATATATTTGTGAAAATGACATACAAAAATGCATTATATTAGAGGAATTGCTTTGTAATAATGGATTATATTGGGGAAATCGCTATGTTTAATAGGCAAAATTGCATAAAAACAAATGTATCTGAAGAGAAATCTGCACTGATGAATTTTCCTGAGATTTTTTTTTTTTTTTAATCACAAACTTATATGGAAATCTGGAGAATAGAATTTAAGACTGTAAAGAGGAGGAATCGAGAGAAACAGAGACTAACAAATTTGCCTGTTCCTAGATATGGACAGATCTGTCAGTTTGTTTCTCATCTTAAAAAAAATCTTAAATTCAATTTGCCACATTTCCACATTTGTTGCACTTTTTTTTAACAGTCACCTAAAAATTCTTCAGCCTTTTAGCATGCCTTTGTCCTAATATGCACATTTAGAAAGTGCAAATTAGCTAGGTTCACATTAAAATGAAAACAGAATGAAATTTCGCATCCATCTCTACTTAGACACAAGTAGAACAAATGCCTGCTTAAAAGTTTATTGTTGCTTTTTGTGAAAACTGAAACAGGAATTTACTGATAAGGGCATTCTTTTAAACAAAATTATCATTGTCGGTTTGAATATTTGTAATTGATAATTCTGAGCTCTGTACCACAAGGTGAAATGGATAGAACCATTTTTCCAAATTGAAATGTCATTATTAAAATCTGTTTTTATTAGAAGCAAGTTCTTACCACAACAAAAACGAGACATTATATCATTGAATCACTTTGCCTGCGTAACTTTTTGCTTTGAAGTTAAAACTCAACTGAGAAAAGAGAAAGTCTGGAATAATTTTCATTTGGGGTGACTTTCTTTTTTCATGGGAGGCAGATGGAACAAAACATTGCCTTCCTGGGACATTCCCCAATTGCTGAAACTAAATAGCAGGAAATATTATACAAAGATGGGGAACCTGTGGTCCTCTAGCTATTGTTGGACTATAGCTCCTATTAACCTTGACAACTAGCCATAGTGGCTGCAGACAATGAGAGGTGGAAGGCAAAACTTTGGTTCGGCATCTCTGATATCAAGTGTCCTTAGCAGCACCCTTTAGCCTAAAGTAGTTGAGGTAAGGTAAGTTTTTCTCTTTAGACTTCTGTAGTATGAAATAACTCAAATCCTAATACTTTCAAATGACTGTGGACAGTGAATAGATGTTATGCATTTTCAGGCGGAGAGCTACAGTCCTCTGGTAGAAAGTAATTGGGGGTAGCATTCCAAAGGTCCCCACAGTGGACAGAACCAGAAACACACACAGCCACACACACATGATCACGCTTACCTATGCACAAACACAAGGGATGACTGCTTAAGTGCCAAACAGTAAGGTTTTTTTAATGACTACAGAGAACACACACACACACCCCAGACACACACTTAACACACAAGCACACAGCTAACACTCACTTTTAACAGAGACACACACTTAACTTTTATAATTAATACAAGGATGCACACTTAACACACATTTAAGTGCACACACAGGTTCAGCCAAAGTTGGGCACTTTTAGCTGCATAGTGATGTCAGCGGGAAAGTTAAGCACTTACTTAAAGTATTTTACAGTAGAATCAATAAGACTATAAAGTACTCAATTTTGGCTGGATCATTCTCACACTCTACATCTTTTTCATCTTTTTAGTCTAACTGTGGGAAGACTAATATCTAGGGGAGCCTTTCTTGCACAGGTATGAAGCATTTGGGGTCAGTTAAATAACCTCTTTATCCATTGTCTCTGATGATACTTTTCAGATGAAGTTCTCTCTCCCTCTCTCTCTCTCTCTCTCTTTCTCTCTCTCTCTACTGTAAAATACTCTCTAATAATTTAAAATGACTTTCTGCAAGCACGGGGTGTTTATATCATTTAATATTTGTCCAAAATATTTCACAGTTGAACACTGCTGAACACTGTTGCCCCATTTTTCTAAAATAACTAGGGTAGTGCAGAGAGGTATAGAAAAGACTTACAGACTCTGTGGTTCAGAATTTAATGAGCTACTGAATAACTGATGATAATCCATGCCTCTATAACTAACCTTCACTTCTCTGGCTCAGTTATTGGTTCAGTCCTTATATGCCATTTTGGCATATAAGTGGTATACAAATTAATAAATAATAAAATAATAGCAATTCTCATTTTGTCTTTGGCTATCCACTGAAAGAGCCTCATTAGTGACAAGGCTTTTTAAAAAACCTCACTGGAGACACCTTGAAAGAGCAGCTTTGCAGACCCGCCAAGTCTCCCTATTTTCCAGGGACAATCCTGCATTTACAGAAGCTGTTCTGGTTTCTGATCTGATCTTGGAGTGTCCCACTTTTCCTTAGGATGTCCCTATTTTCATCAGATAAATATTGAAGGGTATGGTAGAATGTCCTTATTTTCATCAGGTAAATGTTGGAGATTATGCGATCCCTGAGCCAAGGAGATAAGTAACTATACAGCCTTTAGAAGACATCTGAAGGCAGCCCTGTATAGGGAAGTTTTTTAAATGTTTAATGTTTTGTTATGTTTTTTACATATGTTGGAAGCCACCCAGAGTGGCTGAGACAACCCAGTCAGATGGACAGGTTATAAATAATAACATCATCATCATTATTAAATAGGATGTCCCTATTTTCATCTGCAAAATGTTAGAGGGTATGCCTTTGCTGCCGTGAACCCAGTGCTTCCTTGTCAGACAGGAGGACAGATGAATAGCAACACCCCACCTTAACATACCATGCCTAAACCCCATTCATTATCCCCCAAATTATCTCCAGATGAAATCATCTTAAATGATTTCCCCAACCCAGATCACCCCACAACACAATTTCCCTCAAATTCATTTTATACTCAGAAATGCTTGGGGCACTTAGAAAAAGATTTGGGATCCTTACAGCTCCCCTGTTAAACGGATCTAGAACACATCTGACTTAAGAGTAAAGACAGGGCTGCCTCCTTTGACATCTGCAGATCAATTCTATACTTAACACATGCTGAATGACAGCAGGAATTGACCCTAGGGCCTTTTGCCTAGAAAATAAGCTTTACATGCCCTTAGGTCCTGAAAGCTTCTTATACAGCTTTGCTCCTGGTTTGCCAGCACTCCACATGTGATGACCCTGCATCAACTCCACTGATGTTAAACAGGTCACTGTCAGCACATAATCAGAATAGCAGTATTTTCCATGGGGCAGCAGTAACCAATATTCCAGCTCCCCCGAAAAAGGCTTGGAGAAGATCACCAGACTAAAACGAGACTAGAAGCTCCTCAGGAGTGTTGCATGATCAGAATATTCAGAGCATCAGCAGTAATAGGAAATTTGCTTTCCAGATGCAGGTAACAGAGTTTTTTGTTACAAATCTTCAGAAATGCTCATGTGACGGGGTTCTGGGTGCAGGACTTTGAAAACGGCAGGCTTTGAAATTTCCATCTAACCCAGCAGTAAAGGTAAATGATTAAACTAGCCATAATAACCAGACTACTTCTGAAAAAGATCCAACACATATAGCACGTTCACAAGCAGCAATTCAAAACTGAGAAAGGCACATTCCATTCAAAAAAATAGAAAGTGTGCAATATCATAACAGACAGACAGAAATTACTGTTCTATATCAAACAAAGTAAAAACGGCAAAGATCAACACTGTGAGGATTAGATGTTATTTCATAGTATTTTAGATAAGAACCACATGTTCTTATATGTATGGGCATTACATATGTAAACAGAATGTTGTCTGACTGCAGCTGAATACCCACCTTATTAAAGTCGAATGTTTCAAACATCTGCTCGATGTATTCATTTGATGCTGGAGTCAGGTTTTTCAAGCCAAAAAACTGCTTGAACTCATGCAAGGTCAGCTGACCGGAGGGACACTCCGTCATGAACTTCTTGTACCACTGGTGGCACTCGGTGGCGCTCAGTTCCTCAACAGACTTTCCATCCATGTTCCCCATTGTAAAGCAAAAGAGGTGAGCACGTCTCTCAAAAAACAGTGGAGGACTTCTAGAGGCTTCCCCCTTGTTACAGTTCAGAAGCAGGCGGTATGGTATTTATAAGTGAAAGAAAACAGCAAACCTCCTAAGGCTTGCTAAAGAGCAGGGATGATTGGGGGAGCTTCCTGAGAAAATTTCACGCTCTCTGATGGAGTTTTAAAATTGCAAAAGCCTCTTCAAAGAAGCACCTGATGTTTAAGTACCCACTAAATCCTCCTCCAGCCAATGAGAGAAGAGTCCTATGATGGGATCCCAAAAGGGGCATGGGAAGTTCAGGGCAAAAAATAGAAAGGTGGTAAAATGGGAAAGCATTTTGCAGATTATGGGACCCAGGAGATTAAAATGGCAGGATTTACCTGAAGACATTGTAAGCTTCTAATCCACTTCTCTTTTGATTCTATCAGCCATATGCAGATATGGCATACAGGACAGAATGAGCTCCATACTTTGACTATGTGCTGTGTGAACAAATACTTTATCTGTCCTGAATCTTCTAACATTCGGCATCATTGGGTCTCCACAAGTTATGAGAGAGAGAGAGAGAGAAACTTTACTTTGTCCATTTCCTCCAGGTCCTGAGTAATTTTATGAACTTCTATCAGGTCACCTCAGTCTTGTCAACTTTCTTGAGAAATACTGCCATTTGATGTGTTTTCCCTCAAGCCAGCTTCCATCCAAAAACATAAGCCACATTCATTTCGCAGTAAAGCTGAGGTGTGTACATTTGAGACAGCCACGGTATACACATGGATGACAGTGTATGATAGCTTCACAAATAGTGATGGGGAAATCAAACAGGGAATGCTCATCTGGCGAAGACATCCCAGCCCCCTCTCTGGTGTGTACAGCAGCATGCAAATAGACTTGAAACACAGTGGTGGAGTGTTGACCTTGCTGTATTTTAAGCTACTAGTGTGTACATAGCCTTCATCTCCCCAAGTCATACTTGTATCCATCCAACAGGGAAAAACACTAAGCTGCACAGCCCCATTTTTTCCAGCAACCCAGTGTGAAAGGGAGATGTCTTTCCACGTGTCAGCTTTCCTCTTTATTATTATGAGGAATTTGTGGGTGTTAGACACCATAAACTCTTGGGTCCAGTAGGTGTTAGAATTTAATCAAGGCTTGGAGCGTTAAAACTGGAGGCCAGAGCACTGTGTTTTAAGCTGTGTGCCAGACACTTTTAACCCCTGGAATCAGCAAATGTTAAAAGCTAATTAAGCTAGGCTAACTTTCTCAGCCTGGGGGGATGAGCAATTAAGAGGACAAAGGATCAGAGGGCCTTGGTATGAGATGGCAGATGGTTGGGGCCACCTTGCTCAACTCAGTTAGATGATAAAGCCAGAGCTTAGAGAGGTTAGTGTTAGAAGCAATGTGAGTTAGGAGTTATGTGATTGAAACACAAAGCAGCAGTCAGCTGCAGCTGTGCTTGAGTCCTACCCTAGGGTGCACCTCTGGGAAAAACAAGACCCTCTTGGAGTGCTGACACTATGAACTCCTCCATTGTAGGCTCAGGTTGTATAGATTTCTGAATAAACCATATAACATAAAAAGACCATAGTCTCAGCTGCGCCTCATTTCCAAAAGGAGACACGGACCCTGAGTAAAGTACCTGGAACCCCCTGGAATCTCATTCCGCTAAGAGATTGTGGGTGGCCTGCAACTTTCTTATTATTCTATAACTATTCTGCCCTTCCTCCACATTTTGTCACACATCTGCTTCAGGCAACACCTGCCTAATGCTCCTCACCACTTCTGCATCAGTTTTGCCAGTGCTTTTTTTCTGGGGGGACGCAGGGGTACGCATACCCCTAAACATTTTGTGAATCTATGTTTGGCCTCATTGAGGGGCAGTATTTCAATATGAGTAGGAAAATTAGAGTACTTCTAAACATTTTTTTTAGAAAAAAGCATAGAGTTTTGCTTCTGGGAACCCTTTCCCATTTGTCTCCATCTTCACTACATTGCAGTTTACCCTGAATCAGGAATGCTTTAAGGGGTGGCCTAGCAGGTCCGAGCTCTGAATCTATTGCACCAGCCCAGTCTCCTGCCTGATTTTTCTCCATTTTTAAAAGCCCAGTGCTGGTGAGGCCCTGGCACCTGCCATCTGAATTGGTTCACTTAAAGACTAGCACATGCTAACTATATGCACATTGGTGTCACTGGCCTGTGCCTGGATCCTTGAAGTGCCTAGAAAAACTCCTGCCCTGAATCTGATTGAAATATTATTAAAATAGCAACCGTAAGAGCAATCCAATGAACACTTTTGTGAGATATACATGTATAGCTGCGTATACATGTATTTTCTGAGATATACTTGTATATCTGAGATATACATGTATATTTCTGCGTATACATGTATAGGATTGTGCCATTAAGTCACCCACATTTTCCAATGATCGCATTGTTTCATTTATTGCCATATATGCCCACATGGAATGCTTTCCCAGCAGCACCCCATAGAACTTAAGAGACAAATACATAAAATTATAGAAGATCTCAGCTAGCAGGTCTTGCAAGAATTCATGAAAACTGAAGCCAACTTTTGCCAAGAAGTTTCTGGGTCGCCAGAGCAAAACAACGCAGTTCTAAATTCTGTGAGTCTTGCCACTTTTGCCCACTCCCCAAAAAACCCTGGATCTCTGTTGCTTGTTCTATATGTTTCAAGAAACTGTGTCTTTGGAAAGAGCAAGTCAGATCAAGGAATCAGTTGCAGCACAGTGCAAGGCAGTTCGTGACACACTTCTGCAGCTTGTGTAAGTGGATTAATATTAAGGACAAGGAGGAAACACCTGTTTATAGCAGAGGAAATACCATGTCTGCTAAGCACCAGGGATAGCCCCTACGCAATTAGAGGATTTCAGGGGATTCCCTCCAATCTGCTGCAGACCCACTAAGTGTTGAAATTCAGCAGTTAGTTATCCTGACCTAAATTTGGCTTTTGCTAGAAGCTCCTCTGCATTGACACATCTAAGGATTTACTTCTGATCTTCCTCGGCTGCCTTCATCTCTTTCAGAAAGCCCCTTGGCATTTAGCCCATTCTTTCCGAGATGGGGACAGTTTTAAACTTTGCCCCATGCAATGAGTCCAGCTGGGGTTGTTTTTTGCTTTGGGATTATTTCAGTTTCCCTAAAATAAACATTCCAGCAGCAATGGTCACTTACATAACCTAGCCTGGCATAAAATGAACAAGTGTGGCAAATGCTCCTTAGTAAGATTCCTGAGCTGTCGTGGAACAGTTAGCAATGCATGAGTGTAACTTGCCTGTGTCCATGCAGATAAAGTATCAGGACTGAAATGCATACTTTATAGTGTGTGCAGCAGGCAGCCCTTGTGGAACTTCTTAAAATAACTGGACCTGGATAAAGTGCAACCAACTATGAGTGCTTTCTCATGCTACTTCCTCCTTGCAAACAGGGATACAGTGGTACCTCAGGTTACATAAGCTTCAGGTTACATACGCTTCAGGTTACAGACTCTGCTAACCCAGAAATAGTGCTTCAGGTTAAGAACTTTGCTTCAGGATGAGAACAGAAATCGTGCTCCGGCGGCACGGCAGCAGCAGGAGGCCCCATTAGCTAAAGTAGTGCTTCAGGTTAAGAACAGTTTCAGGTTAAGTACGGACCTCCAGAACGAATTAAGTACTTAACTCGAGGTACCACTGTATGTGGGAACCCAATGACATCTGCATGAAGGAAACGCAGCATTAGCATAACATCTAAAATATCTTCAGCCTTGTTAAAGCAGATGGAAAACACACATACTGTAAAACAAACAGAAAAATAAATAGCTCAGCACTTGCAAGAGGATAGAAGCTGGAGACTTCCCCAGCAGGAGTCATCCTGACTCCAGTCTCATCCTTACAAAGTGAGTGCACGCATAGAGGTCCCAGGCATTTGTGTTGTTGCATCTTCTTCCCCCCTGCAGTACTTAAGATGTCCTACTTGTGTGGGCCCACAAATAATTTTAGACTCTGGGCTTAATGCTCTCTCTCATATACATACACACACACAATCTTTTCATATGGTAATCTGTATCATTTCACTTACATCCAAATGGGGTAAGCACATACTGATCCTGCCCCTCAAATAACATCCCTGATAACCAATATGTTTCTGATACACACAAATAGGTTGTGTAACAAATGTGGGGGTTGCTCGTGCGCAAGTTGGTGCCACTCCTGGCTAGGTTGCCTTGTTAAACCTTTTCTCTCTGGACAGCCCCTGCACTTCGTGGCTGTTCAGTCGCTAGCAGAATCCGTCAGTGGGCGTTTCTTAAACCTTTTCCAGCATAAAAGTTGTTTGACTCCAAGTCTCCTCCTACTCTCCCTGCGCGGAAGTCTTCTGCGCAGGGAGGGCGTGGGTAGCGGAGGACCCGTGCTCTCCTCGCTGATCTCCGGCGAGGAGTCCTGGAGCCCCCCTCGCCGATTCCCCCATCTGTCCCCCGTTATCCCTGGTGTTACGCTGATTTCTTTCCCCAGATGGTGAGCTGCCTCTCCCCCTGCTGGGCCCTTCTCCAGCATCGCTCGAGAGCCTAGCCTCCGCCTCTGGCTCCGATGTCAGTTCCCTGACATCCACCTTCCCCCCAGGACCCCCCTCACCCCCGGCCCGACCTTTTGACCCAACTTCGTCCCTTTCCTCGGCCGACGATGCGGGGAATCCCCAGAAGGCGTTGTCACCATCCTCTGAGGATTCAAAATCCACTTCCCACCCGCTCCGATCTCTCCCCGCGGGGTGGGCCTCCCAGTCTGATTCTTCTTCCTCTGAAGCCTCTCCTCCCTCCTCTTCGGAGGCAGAAAAACCCACAAACTCCTCTTCATCGTCTGTGGTTCCAAATTGCTCCTCCCAGAATCTTGCTAGTGGCTTGGGTTTGTCCGGGAACAGGCTGTGGAATTCCTCCACAAGATACCCCTCATTGATTGCCTCCGCGGGAACCCACGTGTTTTCCGACCCGGGTTCTCCCTCCCAAGCTACCAGGTACTCCACCTAGCGCCCTCGCCACCTTGAATCGAGTATTTCCGTGGCCCGGTTGTGGTGTTCCCTCTCCTCTATCTGTGGGTGTGTGGTGACTTCGCCTTCCCGCCCCGGGACTCCCCGCCCCTCCCTGTACGGTGAGAGTAGGGACCTATGGAACACTGGGTGTATCTTCATGCTGTCCAGCAACCTGAGCTTGAATGCCACGGGGTTCACCTGCTGTGTTACCTCAAACGGCCCCAGCCGCCTTGGCTGCAACTTCTTGCACCCCCCCTTAAAGGGTAACCCTTGGGTTGACAACCACACCCAGTCCCCCACCCTTATGGTCTCCCCTTCCCTACGGTGCTTGTCTGCCTGCCTCTTGTAAATTTCATTGGCCCGTTCTAAGTTCATCTTAAGTTGCTGGTGCAGGGCCTCCATTTCTTCCCCAAACTGCTCTGCCGCTGGTACGCTCCACCCTTCCTCCCCACTCCCCGGGAAGGCCCTGGGGTGACACCCATAATTGGCCATGAATGGGCTCATTCCCGTGGACACATGTTCAGTGTTATTGTACGCAAATTCAGCCAGTGCTAGTTTCTCTACCCAATCGTTCTGCCTCTCGCTGACGTAGCAGCGTAGGTATTGCTGGAGTACACTGTTCGCTCTTTCTGCTTGCCCGTTGGTTTCCGGATGTCTCGCTGTCGAGAAGCTCACCTCTACCTGCAGCAAGCTCATGAGCTTCCTCCAGAACCGGGAAGTAAATTGTTTCCCGCGATCCGAAATTACTCTCGAGGGAGCCCCATGCAACCGGAAGATGTGATCCACAAACAACTTGGCTGTTTCCTCTGCGGTCACCGCATGTGAACAAGCTATGAAATGGCACATCTTTGTCAATAGATCGACTACTACCATGACTGCTGTCTTTCCCCGGGACTTGGGCAAATCTGTCATAAAATCAATGGACACCACGTCCCAGGGTCTTCCCGGCGTGGGTAAAGGTTCCAGTAACCCTGCAGGGGCAGCCCTTTCCCCCTTTGCCCTTTGGCAGCGGTCGCACCCCCGTACATATTCCCGTACATCCTCCCTCACCCTTGGCCACCAGAACTGCCTGGTGACGAGCATCATGGTTTTGTGCTGTCCAAAGTGCCCAGCTGTGGGGTTGTCGTGGAGTTGTTTGAGTACCTTTTCCCTCAGGGTCTCCCCTGAGCACCCCCTTATACAGCGCCCCCTTATAGTACAGCACCCCTTCCTTTTCCTCAAAACCCCCTTGGTTTTCTCTTCCCTCTCGGAGTTCCCGGATTTTAGTTTGAGCGAACACGTCGTTTCTAGTAAGCCCGGCCAGTTCTCGTTTCCCAACCAAGGCTCCCCCCCACACCCATCGGTCCTCAGGGATCATGTGTCATATCTCCGGCGGTCCCTCTCCTTCCATGTACTCCGGCTTCCGGGAGAGAGCATCTGCTCTTACGTTTTCCTCTCCTGGCACGTATCGGATTTCGAAGGAAAACTTAGAGAACTCCTGTGCCCATCAAATCTGTCTCTGGTTGAGTACTCTTGCGGTCCTCCAGTACTCCTAGTTCTTGTGATCAGTACAAACCTGGCTCTTGTGCTGTGCCCCTATCAGCAGATGTCGCCATCGGCGAAACGCCGCATAGATCGCAAGCAGTTCGCGGTCGTACACCGTATAGTTTTGCTCCGACTTGCTCAGCTTCCTCGAGAAAAAGGCACACGGCTTCCATTCCTGCTTGCTCCTCCCTGGCTGCAAAAGAACCGCCCCAATGGCTCTGTTGGACGCGTCGGTCTCTAGCCTCATGGGTTTCTCCAGATCAACGTGCAGGAGCTGCTCTTCCGAAGCAAACGCCTTCTTCAGTCTTTCAAAGGATTGCTGGGCACTTTCGGTCCAGACAAACTTCTTTTTGCTACTGAGACAATCTGTGATGGGCGCTGTCAAGTGGGCGAAGTTCTTGATGAACTTACTGTAGAAGTTGCTGAACCCTAGGAACCTCTGCACGTCCTTCCGGGTTTTGGGGGCCTTCCATTCCAGCACCGCCTGCACCTTGCTTGGGTCCATAGCTAGGCCTTTGT